TTCAGTTTAATAAAGTGATCACATAATCTCTGCTTTCATCGGCATAAAGTGCTTGGAGAGGTGGGGATGGAGATGGTGGGGAAGTGTGTAAACAAAATGCAGAAAACAGCAGTACACTGATCTTTCCAGTGAAGAGCTGTGCGGGTGGCATGTTAGCACAAGTCTGACCATTGGAGGACAGGCAGGCTGAGCTTACAGCACAGCCAGAAAATTGACCATGCTTGGGTGGATGTGCTTCCAAGCCTAGAGTGGTCAGCTTGAAATAGGAAAGCAGGGGGACTGACAGGATCATCAGGGATTTTGCCTTAATGCAATGCACATTAACGCTTGCCATAACGGTTTTGCACTGCAATCGAATGCTTAAGTCAAAACTTTGGCAATGCTATGCACACAACCTCCCACCCCCTAAGTGACAGTTCTTGGGCCTAGCAATTGGCTTTTTCAGAATCAAGTGGTGCATTGGTAAGAGCCTAGGGGAGATTGATGCGTTTCCCTTGCCTGCCCATAAGGCAGCACTTGGTGCCTGAACAGTTAATTGCCCAAGCACTTTCATATGAGAGGCAGGAAGAGCATCACTGGGTAAATATTGGAAAGTATGTAAACATTGGAATGGCAGATGGAAAGTAAGTACTGATTCCTTATGGTTCCCCCTGTAAAGTGAATCTGTTAGGTTTTCTAGTATGATAAAATACATTAGTTTATGTTGCGTAGTCCTGGTATTCTTGTTTTTTTTTTGGTTTTGTTATTTACTGGCTTTTGATCTACTGAAACCACCAGTGCACTTTCCCTTTGCTAAATTACTTATCTCAGCAGAAACTTGCCTTCAAATATTCTGATCTAAGCATTTTACCTTCTGGTTCTCAAAAGATTTGCTAATCAAGTTTCATAATACCGCCCATAGTTTAATAAATGCTAATAAGATACAGCTAGGGAACATAATTATTTATTAGTCAGGGACGTGCACTGAGATGTTGGCAGTTAGAAGTAAACATACAGGTCTTCCTGCAATCCCCCTTTGCTATTAGGAAAGGTGTGTGTAGTAGTGCTACGCACGCACACACGCGCGCACACACACACTGGTGCAGTCTCCACGGTCTCCATGGCCTGTGCATATCATCCAGAACCATAAATCAGGAACCTGCAGATCCAAACTTCACAGTATTTAGGCACTGATAATGTCAGTTGTGTTTGTTGGGTTGTGTGTGTGTAATGTTTATCCTTTGTGTTGTTTTTCCATTAATAACATGGGCACAAACCTGATCAGCCTGTCCATGAAAAGGTCTGTGGTCTTGGTTTAGATTGTGACTGATTATCAGTGCACCAGTTCCTTAGTGATCTGTATCTAAAACTTTGAATAAGGATCACCTAGAGTTTTGACACATGAAAAAGAACCTACAATAATAAAGCTTCAACAGCAATCTGCGATTTCTTCATTGCCATCTCCAGAATGGACAAAATTACCAAGTCCTTCACTACATTCTAATTTTTTATGCAGAAGCAGTGATGATCCTAGTAAAGTTGTAATAATGTGGTCTTGATGCTTGTATAAAGCAGTTAACGAATGCTTAAAGGGGAACTGCATATGCTGCGGGTCCCTAGAGTTCTTGCACTATTTTCACCTTTTAATATGTTTACCTTCTAGTAAACTAGGGTGATCAGAACTTCACAATGAATTATGGGGACATCCTACCGAACATGCCCACTTTTATTGAGGTTGGGACAGGGGAGGAGCAGTGGGGGCAATATATTGGAATGCAACACACACTACACCCAATGTTGGGTGTGGCCAAATTGTTCTAACAGCGTGGGGGTCTTAAAGGGGTGTGGTCTAATAACACCTAAAGCTGGGTACACACTGTCCAAATATCCTCTTCAGTAGGAACCGGCTGACATTTGGATCATGCATACAGCTGTTCTTCTGACAGAAGCCTCTCTAAGGACCGGCTTTGGCTGAAGGGACATGCTGGAAAACCAGCATCCGATCAGCTCTTGTAGCCAATTGCTGCGAGTGCTGATTAGTGTGTTCTGTCTGGGGGCAAGTAACCCAGTCAGAACACAAAGGCACAGTGGAAGAGATCACTGCACTAACATCTCTTGTGTTAGTACAGCAATCTCTCAGGTTTTTTTGTTCAGCCTGCTGGGTTGAATGAAAGGAAAAAAAAAACTGAATGTGTGTACCAGGCATAAGCAAGCCTGCTTTGCTCTGGATCAAGAGTGCATAACACATAGAGTGTGAAGGCCAAAATTAAGTAAAGCATAGAGTTCCTCCCTGCTCTCAATAAAATTCCCCACTCCCCCATGATAAAAAATAACCTTCAGCACAAATTATCCCCTTTCTAAATTATACTCACTGGATCTTGGCATGGCAAAACAGGTGAGTCTTCCCAGTCCACTACTGATTTATTTGACACATGGCAGATCCCCTTCCCCCACGTCAAAACACTGTGCATTAGGCAGCTTCCTCTCCTGGATGCGCATACATCCCCTTGTCCTGGCCTTGTACCCTAGTATCTGTACCATCTCCAGGCACAGATATGCACTGAAGGTCACCGTCACAAAGAAGAGTAAGGTGGCAAATAATCCATATCCTTAACTCCCACAAAAAAAGTCTCCATAAGCCCAGAGGGATGGGAATGGGTAGACCACATGATATCAGCATGTGACATAATCAATATCCTGGGAACAGCTGGGAACAGACACATTCCTCCCCTCTCTCCTCGCACACCACGCCAATTACAGAAAAGCTGGACAATAATCAGGAACGCATTCTTTTAACTGGGGACAAAATGGTGGGACATTTTTCCTGGGGACAGCCCCTAAAATTAGGGACTCTCCACTGACATTGGGGACATCAAGTCATCCTATAGTACACAGCGATGCAAGGTCCTAACTCCAATTCATCACTTTATCACCACAACTGTCACCTTCTCCTCATCTTCTTCTGTCTTCAGTCATTGGTTGACCATGGGTGACGTAATGCTTGCGTATATGCACAGGAGTTACAATGTCCTTAGTCTCAGAATCATACAAAACATGACAGGAAGTGAGAGAAAATTTAGCCAGTTGCTGGAACAGGTGTCATCACTGAAGGATCTCCCCTCTATTTCTGTTACTATGACAATGGGTACATTTACTTTGCCAGTGATAATGGTCACCAAGACAAATAAATGGGCAAAGACAGCAATAAAAACCTGAAAGAGGTTCTAGCTGTTTATTCAAAATTAAAAACAAAAGTTTGGGCTTTTAATCAAATTTCCAAAATCAGTTTTGTGTGGGTTCTGTGCACATGTTATGCTTTGATGCTAACAATAACTATGGATGTTACTGGACAACAATTTCTGAAGGGATAAAATTCTCAGGCTCATTCAGGTAGCTGTTTATTGTTACCTGACTGGTGATTCGAATGAGTACTATTTTATCTTTTCACATCACTAGCCACATTGTCTGCGTTTTTAATTATACGTTTCTTAATACTGTGCCATGTTTATTTTAGGTAATGGTATACTTATCCAATGATACACACAATAGTGATAAGTAGTCAAAAACTGTTTTCTGAACTAATTTAAACTTTATTTTGTCCTTTTTTATTGTTACAGTGGCAGGAACGGACTGACAACTCATGGGGCCCCTGGGCAATAGGGGATCATGGGGCCCCTGTGTCCTTGCCCAAACTCAAAAAAGCCTATGAAAAAGGTACCAGGGGCATCTCATGGGGCCCCCTACTGACCCCGGGCCCTTCGGGCAGTGCCCGAGTTTCCAAATGGTCAGTCTGCCCTTGTACAGTGGTATTAACCTACTAAAACAATGTCCTCAAGTTGCCAAAGAAGGCCTATTTATACTTTCATTATGATATTAATAAAAGTTGCGATGACACCACAAATCCTATAAAGAGACTCTTTGACAATTAAAGAAAAAGTCTCAAAACTTATTATCAGCCCATCTTACCAATTCATTTATACTCTAATTTGCAATGATTCTACCACTCTTTTTTCTGTGTTGGAGCTTCCATAAAGATAAAGAACTAGTGCTTCTAAATATGGGGCATCAAGTGGATTCCTCCCATGATATAGTGCCAAGGTGTCCGAGCAGTCAATTGCCAGACCCAAACACCTTTACATGAGGATGATGATGAAATCAACTTTGTAAAGGGACCAATGCCATCCAACATAGAGCTTACAGGATATGACTCTCGGCTTCAACAGGGGAATTGAATAGCACAATAGTGCAGGGTAGGGTATTATAAACTGGTGGGAGAATGAGGACTTTCAAGATACTGTGCATGGGATAAGTGACAGAGTCTTGTTAAATACATTTTTCAATGCAGAATATTCATCTACATCGCCAGAATCTAAAACTAATATTATCAAGTATTGTTTCCTGATAACATAAAACATCAAATTCATAAACAAAATAATTTATATTACTAAAGTAAAATAATGTTATACCTGTTATTGCATAAATACACTTCAACAATCAGGTTTATCAACAAAAAAAATCACAAGACCATATACATATCCAATGCACACATATGGTAATTACTAATTTCTCCTGTATTATAAGATTACACATCAAAATTGAAAACACATTAATGATCGTGAGAACATTTCAATAAATCCCCAAAGGCTTAACTTTTTAATAATGTACAGTGGAAGAATAAAGGACACAATTAAATTTATACTCTGTAACTCTTGAACTATTAACATCTCAATCAGGTACACTAATATAGAATAAATAAACTGAGCATTGCAATCAAAACAATATTTCCCATAGGTGTGATCAGTTTAGCAGATTGATGGGTGGCTGCCAGCTTTGCCAAACCCACTATTGCATTAAGCTGGCCTCCAGACACCTATGCAACCAAGCCCAACTTTTTCAAACAGATAAAAAGGGATGCTTTGGTCTCTCAGTGCAAAGGGGCCCAGTCTCCTTCGTCTTATCTGTTTCTTTTGTTTCCTTCAAACTTCATCCTTTTAAACGCCATTATGAACAACTTTAGGCAAATGCAAAGTGGTGGTGGTGGTGGAAGCAAAAAGGGCTTTAGTGTCTGTTCACTTGGTGGAGGAAGATCAGGCGGCTATCATTCTGCAGGTGTATCATCACAAAGTGTCCAAAGCCTTGGTGGAAGAAAGAGAAGTTCAGTCGCTTCATTTCATCGTGCTGGGTCAAGCTATGGTGGAGGAGCATTTGGTGGTGCAGGAGGATTTGGCGGTGGTGCAGGAGGATATGGCGGTGGTGCAGGAGGATTTGGCGGTGGTGCAGGAGGATATGGCGGTGGTGCAGGAGGATATGGCGGTGGTGCAGGAGGATATGGTGGTGGTGCAGGAGGGTTTGGTGGTGGTGCAGGAGGGTTTGGTGGAGGTGCAGGAGGACATGGAGGAGATCATGGCTACCCTATGTGTCCTCCTGGTGGCATCCAGGAAGTGAGCATAAATCAAAGCCTTCTGAAACCACTACAAGTGGAAATAGATCCAAACATTCAAAAAGTAAAAACTGAGGAAAGGGAACAGATCAAAACGTTGAACAACAAATTTGCAGGTTTCATTGATAAGGTAAGATTTTTTTACATTACTTTTTGCTGCTTTGAATTGATCCTATTTATTCTTAGTAGACTTGGGCATAGGAAACTAACTTTGCTGTCCTTCATGGTTACAGGTTAGGTTCTTGGAACAGCAAAACAAAGTACTAGAGACAAAATGGGAACTTTTACAAGAACAAGGGCACAAAGGTGGCACAAAAAAGCCTAGCTTAGAACCAATTTTTGAGGCTTTCATAAGCCTTCTTTCTAGGCAGCTTGAAAGTCTATTGAGCGATAAAAGCCGTCTGGACAATGAACTAAAGAATATGCAAGAATTGGTAGAAGACTACAAGAAAAAGTATGTATGCTTTGTCAATTGTCAGAACATATTTCTAGTTTTACTGTTTAAAAGTGATTATAATAAGGAAGATAGAGAATTTTTTTAGACTGTCAACTTATTTTGTCTATACAGATATGAAGATGAAATTAATAAGCGTACAGCAGCAGAAAATGAATTTGTGGTGCTTAAAAAGGTAACGTATATTTGCAAACTAACATCCTTTTGATTACACAGTAATGTTAACCAAGTAAAAAAAAAAAAACTCAAACTAAACTATGTACTCTTAATGAGCTGCAGTTAAGCTAGCATTGCAGATAAAGACCAGTAAAATGATGTGTTCTACATGGGCTTTAATGATGTTAGCATTGTAAATAGGGATCGAAGTATCCTAGTTACATTTGGATACCTCAGAGATATATTAAAGCTCCAGATATAGATCAAGAAAAACTATGTTCTAGATGAACCCAACATATTTGCAGTGTGAATATGCCATGCAAAGTGAAACATTTTGTGTTGTTCTTTTTCAGGATGTGGATGCTGCATTCATGCTCAGAGTAGAGTTGGAAATTAAAGTGGATTTATGCACAGAGGAGCTGAACTTCTTGAGGATGCTATATGATGCTGTAAGAATGCTTTATTTTTAGACATGGTTAAAGTGTATGCATAGCCAAAGACTTTTTTCTAGCTTTTGATTGAGTGGGAAAAGTTAAAATCCCTACCAGTTTATTTTTTCTATCTATGTACCTTTGGGGAGATTCCACTTTACTTCCCAGAGATGCAAATAAAAGAGGAAATCTCACAAAGTGAGGAGGATTCTCCTCTTACAAAATTGTCACTTGATTTATCAAATTTCATTGTTGATTTTTGTATGTAATTTACAGGAGCTTCAAGGTGCACAAGGAGGAACAAGTGACACCTCTGTCATTCTATCTATGGACAATAACCGGGACTTAGCCCTTGAGGGTTTACTGAAAGATGCAAAGAAACAATATGAAGCTGTTGCAGAGAGGAGCAAAGCTGAAACACAAGGCTTACTTGCCCATAAAGTAAGTTCATTTTACCTACTTTTGCATGTACACTGAAACTCAGAACAAGTAATTAGACCACACCCCTTAGCTTGGGTCGATAACTTGCCAATGCAAGTTCAGACTTAGGAAACCAGTTTTGAAATATTAATTATGAAATTATGAAAGATTGTTATGTACAAATTGTAAATTGATTATATAGACTTTTACTCTATTGCTAATAGTAAACATTGTTGCCTGGAAATATATATATATATATATATATATATATATATATATATATATATATATACATACATACATACACACACAGGTGTGTGTATATGTATGTGTGTATATATATATATATATATATTTAATTCGTATATAAATATCTTTTTGAAACTTTATGGTAGGTTAACATGTAGACAGATAGGTTTGTAGATGTATTTAAAATGTAGGGATTCAGGAATTATGCATCTACAGGCTCCAGAGAAGCTTTTGTAGTCTTGTACATTATTCTTTTCTTTTAGTACTTTCCTATTGCTATATTTGTTCAATTTTAAAAAAGAGCTAAAATTTAAGAGCTGCTTTTTTTCATTTTAGTATCAGCAACTACAGGCTACAGCTGGAAAACAAGGAGACAGCTTGAAGAACACCAAGAGTGAGATGGCAGAAATAAACCGTATGATCCAGAGGCTGAGATCTGAGATTGAGAATATCAAAAAACAGGTATCTTGTTGATTTGAATTATTTTCTTTGGAAGCTTAAGTCTCATTACATGAGCAATTTCTTTTACTGTGTTACAAAAAGATCCAAGTAGATCTTATTCAAATTAAAAAAGATAAAGATCATTCAGTCTAAACTAAGATAGTAAAATTATATCAATATTCTGCAGATTGCAGCACTTCAGACCTCAATTTCAGAGGCCGAGGGACGTGGAGAACTTGCAATAAAGGATGCCCAGAAGAAGTTGGCTGACCTTGAGGCTGCATTGCAGAAGGCCAAGGAAGACCTGGCCCGTCAAGTACGTGACTGCCAAGAGCTAATGAGCACCAAGCTTTCCCTTGATGTGGAAATTGGCACATACAGACTCCTGCTGGAAGGAGAAGAGGACAGGTGAGTAAAAGATAGACATAAAATATAAAGAGCAGGTACAGGTTTCCTGTAGGACTATCAATTGCTGTGAACAGCAGAATAAGTCTTTAACTTATATGTGATATGAGCAGCTGGAATTGGCTGAGACTCACTGGCAGCTTCTTAAGGCTGGGCACAATATAATGAGCCTTAGAGCAAACAGGATGAGAAAGGTTCTGGCCATTAGAAAGTAGTATGGCCATTAGAATGTCATCACAGTCAAAAATGACTGAAATTTTATATAATAGCCGTTTTATAAAAAGCTATAGAATGCAAAAAAATTAAAAAATGTATTTGCTTTTTTGCATCTAGGTTGGGTGAAAGTCTGTTAAATTTATTTTTGTATTAGTTAACTACAGTTTATGCACAGCATATATCTGTTTCCTCTAAACTTTATCTGTATTCATCCAAGTCATAATAATGCCATGCCTTCCTCTGATGATGTTATATAATTTTATCTAGGGGAGGCTTCCAAGCTATTGTATTGTGAGTGTTAGCAAATCTTAGCAGGCTAGATATCAGAGATTTGTAATGATATATAGAGTATCCTATTTAAAACAACAGAAGGAGTAAACTGTCAATTCCTGATGAACTTTGAAACTATCTTTACTAATGTCTTCACTAGCATTATGATGTGTCTTACATTTGCAAAAATGTTAAGTCCTGTAGATGGAAATGAAATACATATTGCATTAGATGTACAAAAAGAGAGGTCAAATTAAATGAATTATTCAGATTTAGTGGTGCTAAGATTTTAAGTCATTTAACAATCTTTCATATCTCTCAGTGATTCTGGAGGTCTTTGTTCACAAGCCAACAGACTACTGAGGCCAATATCAGGGAGGTGTCATTCTCCCAGTTGCACCCGAAGTAGAAATAACAACAAGAAGATTATATTGCAATATCCCAAAAGGGACTATTAAGATCAGTTGGTGACCCAACCCAAAACGATCTACTGATAACTGAATATCACTTTTGGGAGTTCTAAATTATTTGTCTCAAAAGGGTAAGGGTTAATGAATAACAAGTGTCAGTTTTTCTGAGTGTGGATACCTTTCAATAAGTCTGGTAGAATTTTAGGCAGAATGGGAGTAAGACTATTGTTCTAATTTAAAATTTTTACAATAGATAGGATAACCATTTTTAGCTCAATAATTTGAAAAAAAACTCCTTTTTGCTTTTGCAGAATGTCAGGACATGTACAGAGCAATGTGAGCATTTGTAAGTATAATTTGGTTCTGTGACTACAGCTCTTTTTCTCTGTTATCTAAATAAAGAGAAAATAAAACACTCTTTATTTTTTATTCCAGCTGTGGTTGGTGGAGGCTCCTCAAATATGTCTGGTGGAGGAGCTGGATTTGGTGCTGGCGGAGGAGCTGGATTTGGTGCTGGCGGAGGAGCTGGATTTGGTGCTGGCGGAGGAGCAGGATACAGTGTTGGAGGAGGCAGTGGATATGTTGTTGGAGGAGGCAGCGGATATGGTCAAGGCGGAGGAAGTGGATATGGTCACGGAGGAGGGTACAGCAGTGGTGGTGCCCAAGCAAGCAGTGGTTACAACCAATCATCTACCACAAGATCCTCAGTGGCTGTCTCAAAAACAACATCATCCTCAGTCAAGAAATCTTATTAAGATGCCCCATTGTCATAGCACTAATTTCCAATATTCCAAGCCAAACTTTACTATGCCTTTGTCAGCATGCTCAAATGAGCCTAGCTTTCCTAGTCATCTTCAGTTGTATCAGCCTGGCCCTGTCCTTTGTTGTTCTTCAGGATATGGCTGAATATAATTTAAACAATTTATGCTTCCCCATCACAATAACCCATAAACTGGATATTTTCAATAAGATTTTGATTAGCTAATTGCAGTAAGGTTACTAAACTTAATAATAGATGGACCATTCTTAAACAACCCATATAGTTAAATCCAGTACAATTGCCCTCATACTACACTGATACTGGTGAAAAAAATGGTTATATTAATAGCTAAAAATCTTACTGTTTATGTCCAGTTGAATAATTCTCTTTTATGGGATCATTGTCTGAAACAAAATCAAGAACATACTGTAGTCTCAAGTATGAAAGGAAACCTGCCCCTACAGCATACATTAACCAGAGAATTGCACTAGATATCATGTGCCAAGGGTGTCATGTATAAATGTGTGTATCCCTGTAAGTAAGTGAAACATCCACACTGGGTCTTGGCTGTAGCCCATCCTAGACATTCCTGCTTTTCTTTGTTTTGTGAAGTAATGGATGATATCAATTTGAGGTGTTTTGTATATAAAATCCATTATAATGCATTACTGGATTATCCCATCCCAGGCTTGCATATCTTGTCTTTTCTTTATATCTTCAATAAACTGCATGTGGATCTCAAATCTGTTGTATTCTTTATTTATTTAGTTTTTGCTTTAAGAGAGTTCTGGTCTTTAATATTATACAGTAAATGGTGGTGAACAGCAAAAATGTTTCTCTAATCATAAACCCAAACCTAATTTGTTTTTCAATTCATTAAAGCATTTCTAATCCCAAGAAAAACATACAGTATGTAATGTATTGCAGCATACTAGTCCTTAGATATAGTGTCTGCATTAATTTTCTCTTTTCAGGCTTTTTTTCTTTATTTTTACCTGGTGATCCTGCTAGTAATACACTTTCTGTCATAGGATGACATAGGGTAACATTTTTGCAATAATCTCCCATCCCTCTCCTGCCCTCAGCTAATAATGGAATCTTCTACTCTTCCAACCTGTCCATCCCCCACAGTTACTACCTTTTGTACCACTAGCCCCTCCCTCCTAGATTGTAAGCTCCAAGGAGCAGGGCCCTCCTATCCCTCTTGTATTGAACTGTATTGTTGCTGTATTGTCTCCCGGTATATTGTAAAGCGCTGAGCAAACTGTTGGCGCTATATAAATCCTGTATAATAATAATAACAATATATAATAATAATAATAATAATAACAATAATAATATAATAATAATAACTAGAAAAGCTACAATTTCTGGGGAAATTGTGTGAAGTGTTCTTGCCTCCACCAGTAGTCTATAACTGGAGTGGGCGGAGTAACTGGGTGGAGTGGCTTGAGTAACTGTTGTGTGGTTGGAGTGGCTGGAGTAACTGTGAAAAGGTTGGACTGGGCAGAGTAACTTTATGGAGTGGGCAGAGTAACTGTGTGGAGTGTTTGGCGTGAGTAAAGATAGCAAACTCTAGCTTTTGTCACTCTGCTGCCTGCTCACACACCTGGGTTCCTATGGCAACTCACTCTACAGCAAGGGCAGAGAAGAGCAGTTAAAAACAAACTGCTCCAACTTGCTCACTTCACTGGTGGTTGCCATCTTCAAACGGTTGTAGTTTAAAAATTATAAATCCTACACCAAAGAGCTTTATATTGTGAGAATCATAAGACCCAGACCTATTTTTTGATGCATAGTATGTGTCAGGGATGCGGGTGTGACCAGAGATGTGTGTGTACTGACACAGGGAAACGCAGGCTTCAGATATGGTATAAATAAGACAATTTATTAAGACTAACAATACAAATATAAACGCAGTGCACCAAAACCCAAGCTAACACAAATACATACAACAAGGTGAAACAAACCCAAACCTAAACTGATATAGATACACAGGTACATACACATATAGAGCACAACGTAGTCAGGCAGGCCGGGTCGATAACTATCGGGCAGGTAGGTACAGGAGGAGCAGGCGGAGAGAATGGTCAGGGTCACAAGCCAGGGATCAAACAGGAGAAGTCAGCAGAGGTCAGGATCAGGCAGGGTCGGCAACAAGTCAGGCAGAAACGGGAACAGGAATGCAGGTTACAAGGTAAAGGGGCCCATGGAAAAAACACACACCAAGGCACAGACTGCAGGTCTGGCCATCCCTTAAATACACCACCTGCAATCAGCCCCAGGTGATGGCTAACTGCCGAAGTGAACCTCTGGTTGTTGAGAGCACCCGCTGGCCAGCCCTGGTACTGCAGCCCACAAGGCAGTTGAGTCCCACCACTATTGGCAAGTCCATTCCTGACAGTACCCCCCCCCTCAAGGAGCAGCCTCTGGACACTCCAAACAGTCCTAGCTGGGCAAAATGTTCCACCGGGTCCGGTGACTGGCGGGATATCAAAGAATGGCACATCGGGCTGGGCACCGGACGGAGGCACTTCGAGCTGGGCACCGGACGGAGGCACTTCGAGCTGGGCACCGGACGGAGGCACTTCGGGCTGGCCACCGGACGGAGGCACTTCGGGCTGGCCACCGGACGGAGGCACTTCGGGCTGGCCACCGGACGGAGGCATTGCGGGCTGGTCACCGGACGGAGGCACTTCGGGCTGGACACCGGACGGAGGCACGTCGGGCTGGGCACCGGACGGAGGCACATCAGGCTGGACGCCGGATCACCAGGTGGAGCAGCGGGCACCGGGCCACCAGGCGGAGCAGCGGGCACTGGGCCCTCAGGCAGGGCAGCGGGCACCGGGCCACCAGGCGGAGCGGCAGGCACCGGGGCCCCCCAGGAGGAGCGGCAGGCACCGGGCCCCCAGGCGGAGCGGCAGGCACCGGCCCCCAGGCAGGGCGGCAGGCACTGGGCCCCCAGGCAGGGCGGCGGGCACCGGGCCCCCAGGCAGAGCGGCGGGCACCGGGCAACCAGGCAGGGCGGTGGGCACCCGGGCAACCAGGCGGGCGGCAGGCACCGGGCAACAGCGGGGAGGCAGGCACTGGGCCCCCAGGCGGGGCGGCGGGCACCGGGCCATCTGGCTCGACAGCGGGCATCGGGTCACCAGGTACAACAGCGGACACCGGGTCATCAGACATTGGATCGTCTTGCTCGACCGCAGGCACCAGGTCATCTGGCTCAACAGCGGGCATCGGGTCACCAGGCACGACAGCGGGCATCGGGTCACCAGGCATCAGGTCATCTGGCTCGACAGCGGGGCACCGAGTCATCTGGCAAGGCAGTGGGCACCGAGTCACCAGCGTGACAGCTGGCTCTGAGTCAACTGGCACGACAGCGGGCATCGGGTCACCAGGTATGACAGCGGGCACTGGGTCATCAGGCATTGGATCGTCTGGCTCGACAGCGGGCATCGAAATCATCAGGCACGACAGTGGGCATCGGGTCACCAGGCATGACAGCGGGCACTGGGTCATCAGGCATTGGATCGTCTGGCAAAACCGCAGGCACCGAGTCATCTGGCAAGACCACGGGCACCGAGTCATCTGGCAAGACCGCGGGTTCCGAGTCATCTGGCAAGACCGCGGGCTCCGAGTCATCTGGCAAGACCACGGGCCCTGAGTCACCAGGCACAACAGCGGGCTCCGAGTCAACTGGCGGAACAGCGGGCATCGAGTCATCTGGCAAGACTGCGGACACCGAGTCATCTGGCAAGACCGCGGACTCCGAGTCATCTGGCAAGACCGCGGGCTCTGAGTCATCTGGCAAGACCGCGGGCTCTGAGTCATCTGGCAAGACCGCGGGCTCCGAGTCATCTGGCAAGACCGCGGGCTCCGAGTCATCTGGCAAGACCGCGGGCTCCGAGTCATCTGGCAAGACCGCGGGCTCCGAGTCATCTGGCAAAGACCGCGGGCTCCGAGTCATCTGGCAAGACCGCGGGCTCCGAGTCATCTGGCAAGACCGCGAGCTCCGAGTCATCTGCAAGACAGCAGGCATCGAGTCATCTGGCATAATAGGATCATCAGGCTGGATCAGTTCATCAGGCTGGGTAGAGACATCAGGCTGGGTAGAGACATCAGGCTGGGTAGATAGACACATCAGGCTGAATTTGTGGGCGCCGAGGCACCAAGCTGCACCACGGACTGAGGTGGGTTTTCAGATGGGAGGCTGACCGTTTTGGATACTGGCAGGATGGTATTGGTTGGAAAGAACTTTCGCCTTTTCCTGGTTTTAGTTACCGGAGCACTGTAAGTAGGCGCAGGTTTGTAAACGGATGGAGCAGCTGAAGACAGAAAAGAGATGGAGGATGGAACAGAGAGAGGAGTAGTTGCTACAGAGGACTTCTTTTTTTTTTACAGGGTTGAAGAAAGGATAGGTGCAGCGAGTGGAAGCAGGGGACTGGTATGTGGTAGTTAGCAGCAGAGTATACTGGGCGCCTCACTGGGGGTGCTGTTGGGGATGCAGGAAGAGTGCCTTGAGCAGAGGATGATGTTGCAAGCTGACTGAGGCTGGGTGTATTTAAAACAAATCTGTCCATGTCTGCAGTACTGGTTTAACAAAACTCAGCTTACACATAGCCTGTCTGATCAAAGACTGCACAGCGTTTATGCAATCCATAAGCACATGTGATGGACATGCTGCATAGTGCTCATAGAAACAATCTGGATCATCCTCCAACAACCAAGTGATTCCACTTGATCCACACTAAATGGGGGAAAAAAGTCATTCCTGCTTTCAGGGGTTACAGGACCGAGCCAACTCAGCACAAACCTGGATCAATGGCTGCACCTCAGAAAACTCTGTGCCCTGATCTACTAGACAATGAGCGATATTTATATACTCTAGCAGTTGATCCCGGGTATAACTCCTTCAGAGTCTGATAAGCATAGTCTTTGTCATGAAACACTAGCAGAGATAAATACACCACCTCATCAAGATCCATTCTTCTCAGC